GAGAGAGAGAGAGATGGGACAGGGAGAAGAAGCGTACCGGCCATGTGCTTGGTCATCCAGTCGGCGTCGGACGACACGATGGGCTTCTGCGACCCGCTGCCGCCGTGGTTGCCGTGCGCCAGCGACGGGCCGACCAGCCCCGCGAGGAGCACGAGGTACGGGCTATGCATTGCTGCGGCCTTGTCTCACTTTTCGCTGTGTGGGTGTGCGACAGTTTGGTGGTGGCGCTGATGGGCGCGTTTGGAGAAGTTGGAGACGTGGCGGGGCGGGTTTGGTGGCGTCAATCGTCAATATGCGCGCCAGGAATTGCTCGAGTTCTGCTGTGATGGCAATTGAATTCTGATTTCTGATTGTACACTTTTCAAGTTTGCTCGCTGAAAACAAAACAAAAGCACAAAAGCTCAGAGAGTGATTGTGGAAAAGAGTTCTTTGTTGCCACCTCGCAAAATCACCCGCCCGCATCTGTCAAGACCGCATCTGTCAAGACCAGGCCGCTTTGGCGGCTGCTAAATAAAGCTTACCGGCAGATGTGTGTCAGTTGTCGACAGGGGTGTCGACCAATCGAGGGTATCACTACTCTGCCATATAAGGCTCAACCTCCCTAAAGATGCCCCATGTCCCAAGCTCGTCGGGCCTGTCTCCCCAACAGTCCTTGGTGACGCTGTAGTCAACGTTGTAGCCGATGAGGGCGTCCATCCTGGGGCCGTGGTACGGGTACATGAACCTAAAGTTGTATAGGAACACATCCGTGGCTAAGCGGTGCTTGGCTAGGCTGAGCCGCTGACCCGAGGACGGACCCTCGCCCGCGTCGTCGTCGTCGTTGTCGTTGTCGTTGTCGTTGTCGTTGTCGTCGTTACTCTCCTCTTCTTCATCCTCACTCTCCTCCGCCTCCTCATCCTCCTCCTCATCCTTCTCCTCCCCCACCCCCACCCCACCGTCATAACCCCCCTCCTCATCATTCCCATCCCATAGCTCAAAGCCCAGCCGCCGCCGCCGCTCCCACGGCGACAGCGGCAACCCGCACTCCTCCGCCATGGCCTCCCTGCCCCGCGGGACCCGGAGGCCCCTCGCGCCTCGCCCGCGCCGCACCACGAATAGCAGCTCCCGGCCCAGCTCGCATCCGGGCGCGCTCTCATTATTATCGCCGACGGGGTCCGGTCCGTCGAGCGTCGCCGTCGTCGGCATCGCCCACTCTGTCCGCAGCGCCGGGTTCAGCACCTCAAACGGCCGCGGGCACGACGCCACGCTGGCCTTTTCGGCGCTGCTCGAGTTCTGCTGCCCAACCGGCGGCCCGCACTCGGCGCGGCGGAACAGCCGCACCCCGGCCCCGCTGCCGTCCCACCCGTCCCGCTGCCTGATCTTGACGTCCCACCCGGCCGGCTGCGGCGCGCGCGGCACCACCGCCACTCCCGGCCTGCACAGGCGAGACGTGCCGGCCAGTAGACCCCGCCTCGTAAGCATCAGGCTGTGCGGGGTGACAAACTCGAGCACCCGGAACCCGACGCCGTGCGTCACGAACCGGTCCAGCGTGCGGTAGTCGTTCCACGGGTCCCCGCCCGACAGCACCGTCAGCACGTCGAGCCGCAGGCCTGGCAGGGCCGCGAGCGCGTCGGGCAGCGCCACCGAGTCCAGCGTCGTGCCCATGCGCGACAGCGCCGCGAGCGGGTCCCAACGCCAGCCGGGGTGTTGGTCCTCCGTCAGTGCCGGGCTGCCGCCTGGGTGCTCGCGCACGACGACGCGGCGGATCTTGCGGCGCGTTTTTGGGTTGCGATCGAGGAAGTGGATGAGGCTCGTTTCTGGGTTGGGTTTAGAAAGATGTAGATTAGCCATTTGTTCGAACCTGCAACTGCAGGATGGTAACGGAAACGTGATTTATAGGCGAGTCAACACATACGGTCCTCGGCAAAAAACACCACCTGCCCCAGCCACGAGTCCCCAATCTCGCCGCTCATCCTCTTGCACACCCGCAGCAGCGCCAGGTCCGCGTCGGGCGTGACGAACTCGCCGTCGACGTAGCCGCGGTGCAGCGGCTTGTTGGGCGGCACGAACCCCCACCGGAACCGGACTTGGCTGAAGGCCAGCTGGTATATCTCGAGCCGGATCTCGACCGGCAGCCGCATCAGCGCGCTGCCCGACTGCTGGTCCTGCGTCGGCGGCGGCGGCGGTGGTGTGTCGTTGCCATCCCGTGACTGCGGTGGCGGCTGGCAGCGACGCCGTCCCTGGCCCAGGCGCGCGTCCCACCGCGGGGTGTGCTGCCGTGGGCTGCTGCCGTCCCGTAGCCGGAGCCGCCAGTCCCGGGATACGTGGTAGGAGCCCGACGCGGCCGGGGGGATGGGGTTGATGGCGCCGTAGACCTCGAGGTAGAGCGTGGGTTGCATGTCGGCCAAGCGGAGATGGAAAAAAAGGGACGGCGTGAGGGTTTGTTTGTTTGTTTTCCGAGATGGGATAGATTGGCCGATTGGGGAGGAGGCTATAGAGTATAATATTGACAAGGGCACGCTCACAACAACGTAAACGACCGTCTTTCCGCCAGCTGTGAATGTGGCACGAACTGCCGTTTATTTTGTTTCGGGCGTGAAGGGCTCTTGCCACGGAGCGGCTATTCTCGTGGCGGTACGCAGCTGCCTCATGGCTGAGTAACCTCGCGGTTCAGATGATGTTGCGACCCAAGTGGCGTTGCATAGCAACTGCTAAACTGATTGTCTCTCCAAGGCAAGAGCGTTGGAGGGTTGTCGGAAACATTGATAGCAGATATTCTTCACGGCACCACCACCCGATTCGCAAGCTATTCTTAGCGCCATAATACAAAGGGCAACCTCGTTGTTTACACCATTCTTTCCCTTGCAGAGGTCGCAAAAATTGTCCTCACACCACACTATCAGCAATGACGTGCTGCATCAGCTCGTGGTTGGACGAGTAGTCGATCTCGACGTCGACGAGGCAGACGCCGTCGTGCGCCAGCGCCTCGCGCACCACCCCCTCCAGCTCGGCCGGGGTCCTGGCCCGCAAGCCCAGGGCGCCGTAGGCCTCGGCGTACTTGACAAAGTCGACGCCGCCGAGCTCGACGCCCGCGCTGCGGCCGTACTTGTCCACCTCCTGGAACTCCACCATGTTGTACTTGCTGTCGTTCCAGATGAAGTGCGCGATCTTGCAGCCCTGCAGCACCGCCGTCGCGAGCTCCTGCCCGCTGAACTGGAAGCCGCCGTCGCCGCTTATGCTCACCACCTTCTTGGAGCAGGGGGGATCCTGCGACAGCGACGCGCCGATGGCCCTGTGGGGGTTAGGGGTGTTTGTGTCAACGATGGGCTTGGTTATACCACCTGCACGAGAAAACAAGGCGGGTAGGTTTACTTACCATGGAAGCGCAACGCCGAGGGTTTGTTGGGCATTAGAGACCAAAAAGGTCTTGGGCGTATACGAGTAAAAGTACCTGCACATGTAGATGTACTAGAAATGGGTACGTCAGCATCCTGTTTCGTTCGTTTGAAATCAAGCATAGAGCTAGGCCGGCCACTAACCACGCTGCCCACATCGCACGTCACGACCGACTCGGGGGCAATGAGATCCTGCAGCGTCCGGATGAACTGAAGCGGATGCACAGGCCCCTCGGCCGGACGACCGACAGCCTTCTCGCTGCTCTCCCACGCGTGAAAGTCCTCAAAGATGTGCCTGCCGTCGTCCGTGTCCTGCGGCCGGGCGACCGCGACGCCGGCGTCGGCCAGGCGGGCCGTCAGGGAGCGCAGGTTCTCCACGAGCGAGCCGACGAGCTCGACGGCGGGCTCGTAGTTGGGCCCCACGTTGGCGGGTTGGTAGTCCATGTGTATAATATCAAAACGGCCCGGGGTCGGGTTCCACTGGCTGGAGTCGTACTCGGCCTCGTCGTAGCCGATGGCGAGGACGAGGTCGGCCCGGGCGAGCAGGCGGTCGCCGGCCTGGTTGCGGAACAGGCCGACGCGGCCGTAGAAGAGGTGCGCCAGCTCGCGCGAGATGGCGCCCGCGGCCTGGAAGGTCTCGATGACGGGGATGGGGTGCTGCCGGAGCAAGGCGTGCACTGCCTCGACCACGCGGGCGCTCGAGGCGCGCATGCCCAGGAACAAGACGGGGAACTTTGCCCGACCCAGCATCTCGACCGTCCTGGCCAGCAGGGCGTTGGGGGCCGGCCCCAGCTGGGGAGGGCGAAAGGTGGAGGCGGGCAGGGCCGGAAAGGCGGTCAGGGACGTCGAGGACATGATGTCGATGGGCAGGCTCACGGCGGTGGCGCCGCGGGGGAAGGTGGCGGCCACGCGGAAGGCGTCGGCGACGAGCTCGGCGACCTGGTCCTCGACGAGGGCGGCGACGACCTTCTTGGTTACCGGCCGCAGCAGCTCGACGCCCTGCAGGCTCTGGTGGGTGCGGCGGGCCGACTGGACGCGCCTGACGCTGCCGGCGATGGCGACGACGGGGCTGCCCTCGTCGGTGGCGGTGACGAGGCCCGTGACCAGGTTGCTGGTGCCGGGCCCGGACGTGACGATGACCACGCCGGGCCGGTCCGTCAGCTTGCCGACGGCGCCGGCGATGAAGGCGGCGTTTTGCTCATGGCGGCAGACCACCACCTTGATCTCGGGGTGGTCGACGAGGGCGTTGAAGACGCTGTCCTGTTGGTAGGTTAGCCAATGAAGCTCGACCATGATTTGGGATGGAGACTTGCAATCTTGGCGCCTGGCACTCCAAACACGATGGTGACGCCTGCGGCTTTGAGGGAGTCGATAACGACCTGGACGGTGTTTTGTTGGGAAGCCATGATGGGTAGGGTGTAGAGTAGAATGGTGAATAAACCAAACTCGTCCCGGCCGGCTCACGACATTAAAACTAGGAACTATCTCGGGTGAGGCCGGACAGCTCGGCCACTAACGGCGTCGACCCCACGTTGTTTGGGCCTTTGCGTGGGCGGGCTGCATGCTCTTACTCAGCGCATATCGAGACAATGACTTCATCGCTGGTGACATTTATGGGGCCCCGCTGCTGCCGTTGACAGGAGCTTTTTGCGGATGCAGCCCAAGCCCGAGTCGGAGGGAACATGTCACTTTGCGGTAATACCACTGAGTTTGACACCTTGACCGAAATACTCTCACGCAACACACCAAAACCTCGCTCACAAACAACATGGCTGAAAATGAAATATACCAGTACTCCATCATCTCGGCCCTCATGTAAGCCTTACCTCATGCCCCTCCCCCATCCCTATCCCACCACTAACAGCAACCTCAGGGACGGCGTCGGCTCCTCCGGCCTCCCCATATCCGACCTCGTCGCCCACGGCGATCATGGCCTGGGCACCTTCCGCAACATGGCCGGCGAGATGATCGTCCTGGACGGCCGCGTCTTCCAGATGAAGTCGGACGGCACCGTGACCGCCGTCGACAGCAGCCCGGGCGCCCTGGACCCTGCCGACGGCCTCCCCGTCGTCGCCCCCTTCGCCATGCTGACGCGGTTCCGCCCCACGGCCAGCCGCGCCGCCTGTCGCCCGCGCAGCAAGGCCGAGCTCGCCGGCCTGGTCTCGGACCTACTGCCGCCCGGCTCGCGCAACCTGTACGCGGCCTTTCGCTTGCGCGGGACCATGGCCAGCGTCACAGTGCGCACCGCCGACGGCCAGCGCTTCCCGGGGGAGCCGCTGCGCGCGCTGGGCGGGCGGCAGGTGACGCACGTGTTTGAGCGCGAGGAGGGCGGCACGCTGTTTGGCTTCCGGAGCCCGGCCTTTTCTCACGGCGTCAGCGTCGCCGGGGACCACATGCACTTTATAAGCGCGGATAGGAGGCGCGGCGGCCACGTGCTGGCGCTCGACGTGGGCGCCGAGGGGGCCGGTGTGGAGGTCGAGGTGGCGCCCATCTCGAGGGTGCACATGGAGCTGCCGGTTGGGGACGAGCAGTTTGACGCGGCCGAGCTGGCGTTGGACAGTGCTGGGATCAAGGCTGTCGAGGGGTGAGTTGGATGTGAGGGATTCTTTTTTTTTTTCTTTTTCATTTTCAGACGGGTTGCGTACGAAAACGGGCCACGCGAGCGTCTCATGGCGAAGAATAGCAATATTTTCGGTTTGTTAAAGAGCGTCATGGCATTCCAAGACTTCGCGGAGTACCCCATCTCAAACCGTGATGGGTGGGCTGAAGGCCCAAGGGAAATCTGACAGTAGCATTCAAGTCTCATCTGACGCTGCCTAGGTGTCTGCATCACGCCTTGATAGGCTGCTGTCCAATAACCTTCTCCCCATCAAACCGCGGGAGGAGATATCATCATCATCCCGTCCTATGCCGGGACGCACAACGGTTAGCTGTTACGGCTCCGTATCAAAAGACCGTGGGGATGAAAATATACCGATGGATACGCCGGTGAGATTCCCGCGCTGCGGCCCGGGGCGTTGGGATCGACCGGTCCCGGTGGGGGATGCCGTGGCAGCTATTCACAGATCCAAGTTCCAGATGTCATCCTGCCCGTTTTCGTAAACACGCCGGAAACATGTCGAAATCATCATGTCATCACGAGATCAGGGGAGAGCCTGGATAAATATAGTTCGGCAGGGGCATGGGCGACATGGAGGACGCCGACATGGCCACGGATATAAAAACATGCGTTCTGCTCACCTTGAGTCCCACAGAGACATCATCAACCACGCTCACAGCAGCTTCCTGCCCGTCTTAACACATCTCCCATACCCCTTGCCCCGGACCTTATCCCACACACCCACCACCAGTAAATAGGGTAGGTTAGTCATGAAGCCATCCGCCCTCCTCCTCACCCCCGCCCTCACCCTCTCCCTCGCCCTCTCCCTCCGCCCTCGCGACGGGCCCACCACCCACAAGGCCTGGTCGGGCACACCGTCCGCGACAAGTCCCTGGCCTTTTACCCGCCCAGCCTCAGGGCCGCCGTCGGCGACATGGTGCAGTTCCGGTTCCGGCCCTTCAACCACACCGTCACCCAGCCCGCCGGCGCCGGCGCCCCCTGTAGTCCCATGGACGTAAAGGGCATCAAGGCCGGCGCCGCCATGGCGCCCATCAACAGTGACTTCGTCCCCGGCGCCACCGAGGCCGACAAGGAGGTGCCCGTCTTCAACGTGCAGGTCGCGTCGGCGGACCCCATCTATCTGTACTGCGGCCAGCCGCCGCACTGCAACCTGGGCATGGTCATGGTCATCAGCCCGTACGTTTTATCTGTACTGCCGTGTGAAAAAAAAACGAGAAAAAAGAAAAGAAAACGGCCGAGCCCCAGGTTAGCTCGTACCCGCTAATAGTGTCATTCGTCCTTCCAGAAAGTCCGACGACGACGTCAAGGCCTTCGAGGCCGCCGCCAAGGCTCAGGACAGACCAACCCGCCCTCGGGCACTGTTGCCGGCGGAACCATGGGGCACCATTGCGGCTGGCGAGGCCATTGTGCCGCCCTGAGCTCGGGGAGCTGTCAGTTCTCACCATGTGTGTCCAGAGGGTATTTGTTGGATCTAAATAGCCAGTATATTTTAGACACCCGTGTTTTGTTTGGGGTTTCAATGACATTTGAACGCAGTTCAACCGCCACAATTATCTTGCTTTTGCGAGGTGCTGCGATTTCCCTCGACATGCTATTTACCCCCGTCACGAGCAATCGTCTAGTCTTACACCATGAGTCTACTGTCTATAACTGCAAAGTCGCTGGAAACAGACAAACGCTGGACAGAATGTCGTAAAACGAATGTAAAGGCATGGGATCCAAACAGGTCCTTATAGGAGCGTAAATAACACCCCGGTATATTTCATCAGGTTACACCCCGCCCTCTCCATGAGCTATTTGAAGCTCCTTGTGCTCTTACACCACCCGTCATATAAAACAGAATATTCGGCTTTGTAAACTAAAGAAAAAGAGGCGAGAATGATTGGGGTTTGATCTAGCAAGTCTTTCCGACCGGGGGAGGAGCGACAGGCGGCGGCGGAGGCCCGCCCGTCTCGGTCTCGCCGGGACCAGGGAACGGGGTCATGCCCTCAAGCGGACTAGGACCCGCGGGCCTCATAATGACGGCGCCCTTGGGCATCTTTGTCCTGCCCACCAGCTCCTCTCCCCTGATCACCTTCTCGACCTCCTTGACGTCGAGCGTCTCGTACTCGACGAGCGCTTTGGCCAGCAGGTCAAGCTCCTTGCGCTTCTCCGTGAGCAGCTTGATGCCCCGATCCTGTGCGTCCTTGAGCGTCCTCTGCACCTCCGACTCGACGAGCTCTCGCGTCGCCGGGCTGAGGTATTCGAACCTGCTGTGGAACTCCATCGGGCCCAGCTTTTCTGACATGCCGAACCGCGCCACCATGGCATATGCCAATGAAGTGGCCACGACAAGGTCCTGGATGATGGATATTATTAGCTTGCTGCCACAATGAGTGAATCATGAGGGGTAACCTACTTGCGACACGCCGCTGGTTTGGCCGTCCGGACCGTATTGAAGCCGCTCGGCAATCAGGCCGCCAAGCGCCGCCTCAATGTCCGAGAAGTAGTCCTTGGCAGTCTTGGAGTAGCGGTCCAGTGGGGGGAGGTAGGCGGTGTGGCCGAGGGTCTGGCCGCGGGGAAGAATGGTAACCTTGTAGAGGCTCATGGTGCTCGTCTTGGAGTAGTACCTGATCAGGGCATGTCCGGCCTCGTGGTAGGCCGTCATCTCCTTCTCGGTCGGATCGATCACCATGCTCCTCTTCTCGGCGCCCATGATGACCTTGTCCTTGGCCCAGTCGAAATCGACCGTGTCGACGGCGGCCTTTTTGGCCTTGCTGGCGTGGATGGCAGCCTGGTTCACAATGTTCTCCAGCTCGGCTCCGGAAAGACCAGAGGTTACCAGCGCGATGGCCTCGAGGTTCACAGCGGGGGAGGCCTTGATCTTCCTGGCGTGGTGCTTGAGGATGGCGATGCGGCCGCGGACGTCGGGCAGGTCCACGCGCACGTGGCGGTCGAAGCGGCCGGGGCGGGTCAGAGCGGGGTCGAGGAGCTCGGGGAAATTCGTGGCGCCGATGATAATAACACCAGAGTCCTGGTTGAAACCGTCGAGCTCAGTCAGGAGCTGGTTGAGGGTCTGCTTGACGTAAGCGGCGTCGCGGGCATTGCGCTTGGCACCAATGGCGTCGAGCTCGTCGATGAAGATGATGGACGGGGCGTGGGTCTTGGCTGCCGCAAACAGATCGCGCACGCGGCGGGCGCCGACGCCGACAAAGACCTCGTCGAACTCGCTGCCAGACATGTAGTGGAAGGGGACGCCGGCCTCGCCAGCGACGGCCCTGGCCAAGAGGGTCTTTCCGGTACCGGGGGGTCCAACCAGGAGCACGCCCTTGGGGGGCTTGCCACCGAGGGTCGAGAACAGGGCGGGGTTCTTAAGGAACTCGACCAGCTCCAGCAGCTCCTCCTTGGCCTCGTCACAGCCGTGAACATCGCCGAACTTGGTCGTCTGCTTTTCGGCCTTGACCTCGCTGTTCACTTTGTTGCCCGTCTTTTTAACAGTCGTTACCATTTCGAACGCGATGGACAGCACAACCATGCAGACGTAGGCGATCAGACCGAACCAGGCGGCGAACTTGACCCAGCGGAACACGTTGCCGAAGAAGGACTCGTTGACCACGACGTGGATGGGACCGCCAGGCGCCTGGGTGGCCGTGGACCCGCCGGCGCCGCGGGCGTGGGCGGCGACGGCCTGGCCAATAGCCTGGATCTGGGGCGTAGACTGACCGGCAGCGCCGGCGATGGACACGGTCCCAGGAGCAGCACCGGGCACGGCTCCACTGTTGGCGGCGGCAGACGAGATCATTCCGAGGGCGCGGTGGTACGACTCGAGGGTGACATCGTTGCTGGCAAAGCGGCCGGACTGAAAACGCTCGACGACGATAGCGGGCATGTTCGCCTTGAGAAGGACCTGGTAGAAAGCGTTCTGGGCGGTGGGGCTGCCGGGGTTGCGGTTGGCGACCTCCTCCCTATTAGCGAGGAGGCTGCGCGAGATGCTCGAGCTGAAGAAGCGTTTGGGGAAGACGTTGTAGACATGAACGGGGGTGCGGGACTGGAAGGCGGGGTGAAGGCGCATCGCGGTCGGAACGAAGGCTCGGGGCTGGGGCTGAAGGGGCCTGGCGGCGACGGTTGAGTAGCAGCGGGCAGACAGGCCGATGTGGCCGTTGAGCCTCGACAGCGTCGACGATGGACTTCTCAGGGCGGCATCGCGCAGAAAGCTCGGCGTTGGGGTCGTCGGTGCGGACGAGGGCCGGATGGTCCGGGCGGCCAGGACGGCCACGGCAATGGATGGCCCCAGCTCAGAGCTTGCGACGGCAAGGCCCTTGGTTCAGGGTTAGTATGCCCGAGCGGGGAGGCGTATGCGGGCAGGATAAACTTACCTGGCGGGCTGACGTCTGCAGAGCCATGGCGGGCACAAGTCCGCGGGCTCAGTGCAGTGTTCGCCTCTGCTCTGGCCAGGAGGGGGTTATATAGAAGTTAGACAGCAATGGACAATGTGATAGAGAGGCGGCGGGCACTCTGCTGGGTGGGAGGAGGATGTCGTAGGGATGGTCAATGGATCAGGCGGGCGGTTTCCGAGGCTGCTCCCGCGACTGTTGAAGCGGCAGGTGTGGAGCCGTTTTGGCTGCACCGACGAACCGAAGGCAGCAGGCAGGCAACGTCACTGCCAGCCTCTGTTCAAATCGTGGACAGAGTTTAGTTGACTCGGTGCCCTCTGCATCGCATTTTCCGGAAAGGTTCGTGTCGGACGGGCGGCGTGGGAAGCCTCGGGTGGAGGTTGTCGCTGCAGATGCAAGACTCGAAGTGGCCCCGTCTCCAAATCACCAAACGCCGAATCGGACCTCGTCTGCCAAGCCAAATCACTCGGCCAGGTTTTTGCGACGCCACGTGATTGGGTGAGCGGCCAAGTGCCGCGCGTGGGTCACGATGAAGTCAGGCCAATCACATTGTGGGCTCAGCAAGGGTCCCCAGCAAGGTCCCTGTCGTGCTCGTCTCAATCGCCAGCCTCGCAGCCTTGCTCGCCATTCCTGGTCGAGCTCCAGCAACAAGACCGACAACCACAGCGGACCAATTTACTGGACCGTCTCGTCTTATCAAAGATTGATCCTCGACTGGGACTTAGCCACCACGAAATCCACCGAAAATATACACAGAAACGCATCACAAGCCTCGACACGGACGCGTCCCGGCGGGCAACCGTCACAATGAACCGCGCCATCGAACAGACGCTCCTCTCACTTTTGCCAGCACAGAATGACAACCTTCCACCCCAGCTCGTCAGCCTGGCATCCTCCCTCCTTGCCCAGTCACGGAACCGCGCGAGTACCCTCAAGGCCGAGGAGGAGATTGCGCGTGCGTACGCTTGTTCTCATGTTGCGTGTGATAGGCTAAAGATAGCCCTCAACCTCCCGCAAATCCAACCCCGACCGCCCATCGCACCCCGAATTTATAAGCGCCTGTACAATTACCTCGACACTATCCTCCCCAACAACACCTCGGGCGTCGGCACCCCCCGCTCCGCAGCCCGCGTGCGCGGCGCCGCCGCCGCGTCGGGAACTCCGGCCTCGCAACAAGCCCGGACGCCCTCGCGCGGCGCCGGCCGTTTCCGCGACCTCGCCGTCTCTCCCTCGTCCACTGGGCGTGTCCCCGGCTCCCAGCGACCCACACCGTCCCAGGCCGAGTCGCTCGCCCGCTTCCGCTCCTCCCCGACCAAGACGCTCTGGCGCCGTGGCGCCCACGCCCACCACGGCACCAGCAAGCAGCCGCCGTGGCTGCGGACCGTGGCACGCCACCTGTGCACCGCCATGGGTGTGGCGCACCTCGCGCCCTTTGTGTTTGCCGGTCTCGACCACGTGCTCCTCCCCCCCGGCGGCGGGCCGCCCGACACCTGGGCCGTCGAGAACCCGGCGGGCCTACTGGCGGCGCTGGTCTTCTTTTGCATGCGCGCTCTAGCACGGGCCAACGCCGCTGTTGTGGGGGATGATGGCGCGGGCGGCGAGGACGAGGAGCTGGACGGGGAGCAGTACAAGGCCTTGGAAAAGTCGCTGTTGAAAGTCTGGAACAGCGCGAGGGAGGAGTTGCCGCCGGGAAAGGAGGCGGCGGAACTCGCACAGGCGCCGGGGGCCGCAGATGCAGAAAACGCCGACGCGGCTGGCGGAGGGGCCGACGACCACATGTGGAAGGGCTGGCGAACGCTGAAACCCAAGGACCTGAAGGAGGCTCTAGTGGTGGTCACGGACAAGAACTGGCTGGACAGCGACTGGTTCCGGGGCATCCAAGACCTGAGCCACGAGGGCCGAGGGGCGGACGGGGACGGCGGCGAGCACGAGCAAGGTGGCCCGGTTGCGCAACTCTGGCGGGCGGATACGATGCTGCAGGAGCGGTGGGAGCCCAGCGAAAGGAGGCGGAGGGACTATGCCGTCTGGAAGGCAGAAGTTTTGCAGCACATTGGGGATCTCGAGCGGAAAGGTGCCGTTCTCATGGACGTCTGCCCATGATTTTCCGACGCCCACCTACTTTTACGACCGGATTTTATTGGACATATACCACTTGACACCAACCAGGTCAGGTCCCTTCAGTTTACTTATAGGCCCACCGTCTTGAACTCCTTGACGGTATCAATCATACACTGTTCGAGTGTTCTGTACTGGACACCCAGGATCCTGTTGGTCTCCGAGTTGTCGAACTTGTACCTCGTGTCCTCGGGCGCGATCTCGCCGCCCTTGATGTCGGGCGACGGCAGCTTGTCGGCGTACTCGTCCCCAAAGTGCTTCCTGACCACGTCGCAGATCTCCCTGTTGCAAAAGGTGCCGGCCGTGGTGAACAGCCGCTTGCCGCCGGCCTCGGGCGCCTCAAGCGCGCGCAGGTGGCAGGCCGCAAGGTCTCTCACATCGATCCAGCTTTCGAGTTTAAATGTATTAGCCAACGGGTAACAACGTAACGCATATCGGCCAAGAGGGGTATATAACTCGTACATAAAAGCAAGGCCAGTTTCAGGGGGACCGTCGGCCCGCCACTTGCCCTGCAGCAGGTCCACGACGCGCGCGTTGCTCGTGTTGACCGAGTCGCGGCTCACAAAGTGCGGCACCACGGGGCCGAACACCATGGGCGGGTTGATGGTGGCCAGGTCGAACTTTGCGGCGTTGGCCGGGTCGCGCACAAACTCCCACGCGGCCTGCTCGGCCAGCTTCTTGGAGGCGCGGTACGACGTGGCCTTGTCGGCCTCGGCCTCGGCCAGCGTCACGGGGTTCCACGACGACTCGTCAAACGTCGTGGCCGGGTCCCAGACCCGCGCCGGGTCCACGATGGCGGCAAAGGACGAGGTGACGACGACGCGCCTCACGGCCGGGGCCGACCGCGCGATGGCCTTGAGGATCGACGTCGTGCCCACCACGGCCGGGTCGATGAGCTCCTTGGCGCTCTCTGGGGGGGACGGACGGCGGGCAGGCGGCTTGTTTAGTTGCTCATCCCATATCACTGGCGCGCAGGGTGCACAAAGAGTGCCAAGAGTACATACGGATGTTGAAGTGGAACGGCGACGCCGTGTGCAAGACAAGCTCGATGCCGGGGGTCTGGACGACGTCGTCAAAGGCGTCGGGCTGGGCAATGTCGGGGACAATGGCAATTTCCAGCTCGGCCTTGGGGTAGGCGGCGCGGATCTTGTCGGCCTTGTCCTGGCTGCGGACGGTGGTGACGACCCTGTAACCCTTCTCCAGCAGCCGTTCCAGGATGTGGGCTGTGGCGGGAGGAGCAGATGTGTCAACATGGCGACGTTCTGGGCGCCGTGGTCCAACAGGGGGTGCTTTAACCTAACCCGCGATGAAGCCGGACCCGCCTGTACAATTAATTGCTTGTTAGCTTTGGTTATCCTGCGAGATATTGCTGCGTCGGTACCGTCACTTCACCGAAAACCACGTACCGGTCAATAAAACCTTCGGCTTGGAGCTCATGTTGATGACCTGTGCAGTCTGTTGGATCGCGGATATGCAACAGCCGGAGATTTGTTGGTTATCAATCACACCCGAGTTTACTTACCGGGAGCTGGAAGAATGAAAGGCTGGAAGAGTGTGTCGTTGCAGAACATGGATGTCCTGACATCACTCACCATTGTGAAGCCAGGCCACGCCTAAGGAGGGGCATTGCGCGGGGGAGGGTCCAACCGGTACCGATGCTCGGCCGCAACGTCATGTCCCCCACCGTGTCACCGTGTCACCGTGTCAGGAGTATCCGTCAAATCGTTTTTTGCCCTTTTCTTGTCAGACCTTCATAACTGTCTGATGCAGGCCAGTTGGTGCAGGCCGGTTAGTACAGGCCAGTTGCATCATCAGCCTCTCCCGTGACCTGGTATCTAAATGCTTCGATAAGCGCGGCGGGGCCTCAGCGGGCACCTTTGGAAGTCCGTGTTCAATAGATCCAACTCCAACAGAACCGAGACTCATGTTCGCCCGCTCCTCACAGCCCAAAGACCCCGCTGGAATCTCCTGCTTGGCGGCCTCGTTGTAATCGGCTGCCGAAAACGCAGCGAGGCTGCGATGGGCGTCATTGTCGAAGGATCGTATGTACGGCAGGCTGCGGCAAGCTGCTACACGTCGACCTTGACGCGCGCAAAACGGCACTTGGCCACCCGGGGGGCTCTACAGCTTAGGCCGAAAGAGAACTGCATCGACATAGCCCCGGGTTGGCCATCATCTCTAACCCGCAAACCGGGCTGCTTTCTCGTGGAATTCATGTAGAGGTTTAGTTCCCTTACGACCCGCGCAATATCGGCTAGCTGGTCTGGAGCTGGGGTAGAACATTTAAACTCAGGCAAGTCAGCGGTAGCTTCACAATCGAGGCAGTGATGACGTTGTCCCTCCGCTACCGTAGACAGGAGCCCCGTAGGAACAAAGGGGAGGAACCGACAACAAAGGGGACGGAACCGGCAGCCAGATTGCCCGCCGAGTCGGCACCGAGTTTGGCCACTTGAGAGGCACCGATCGCTCGAGATCTTGCATAGCCCGATCCGCAATGTCTGGATCGCGGGGTCGTGCTGTGGAATAGATCGCCAAGCTCGCCGCCGGGTGGCAGTGCTCATTCCGGACGCATGGTTGGGCCCGAGATTCCGCAGGGGGAAGCTGCTTCCAGAAGTCGCAGACGTCAACGATTCTAGCTAGACTAGCTTGGCCTGCGTGACAAAAGGCATCGCGAACTGTATTCTATTGGGGCGGCGCCTGGAGCTCACCGTACAATATGCGCAGGTTTTGAGGCCATCCTCGCCGTCGCTTGCGATGCCAGCAGCTATCTCGGACTTCCTCGGGCTGGGCGCAGGCCAAGCCATCAAGCCATCTTTGACTGCGTAAGCATTTCATACCTCGGGCAAACTCATGTGTACTCTCTGAGGTATTCTCTGAAGCCGTGTAGTCGATCTGTTGTGGCTCCGTGATACTCGATAGACGACTAGGAAGAATGAGGCGGGCGTCGATCTCAAACAAGAAGTGTAATTAAGATGGTGTCATAGCTTGTTTAAGCTTAAAAGCGGACATGCCCGTCCCCAATCTCCATGTTAATCCCAGCGCAGCAACACCTCGTGGCTCTTCATCAGCTCCTATCAGCAAAGGGCTACCTCTTCTGATCCTTTCCCCTAGAAACTCGAGCCGTAGCCATGCACGCCAAATTCCTCCTCCCCCTCGTGGCCGCCCAGGTGGTCTGGGCCCAGACCCTCACCGAGGTGCTCGTCTCCAAGAATGACACCCTCTCGACACTCATCAGCCTCGTCCGGGGGCAGCCAGACCTGCTCGGCGCCCTAGCCGGCGCCTCCAACATCACCGTCCTCGCGCCCTCCAACGAGGCTTTCAACAAGCTCCTCGCCGACCCCGCCGTCGCCGCGGCCGTGCAGTCGACCCCGGGCCTCGTCCCGGCCCTGCTAAGCTACCACGTCCTCAACGGCACCTTTTACGCCTCGGCCCTCGCCGGCCTGGCCGCCCCGGCCTTTGTCCCGACCTACCTCGCCGGCAACGCCGAGTACTCGACCGTTTCGGGCGGCCAGGTCGTCGCCGTCAAGGGCGACAACAACGGCGGCGGCGTCACCGTCCTCTCGGGCGGCGGCGCCTCGGCCAGGGTCACGGGCGCCGACCTCAACTTCACCGGCGGCACCGTCCACATCATCGACAGCGTGCTCTCTATCCCGCCCAACCTCACGACTGCCCTGACACAGGCCAAGCTGATCTCCCTCGCCACGGCGGCGACCAAGGCCAACCTGGTGACGCCGCTCTCCGACGCCCGCGAGCTGACCCTCTTCGCCCCCAACGACGAGGCTTTCGCCGCCGTGGCCGGCGTGGCCGCGAGTCTAACCATCGAGCAGCTGGCGGGCGTGCTGGGCTACCACGTCGTCAACGGGTCGGCCGTCTGCAGCAGCGCCGTCGCCAACGGGACCATGGCCAAGACGGCGCAGGGGTCCGACGTGACGCTGACGGTGCGGGACGGCAGCGTCTTTGTGAACCAGGCAAAGGTCGTCAAGGCCGATGTGCTGGTCAAGAACGGCGTGGTGCACGTCATTGATGGGTGAGTACCTACCTTGCCTTTGTGTGGTCTGCCTTTGGTCTTCAACATGGATAGCCAGCTGACTGTGCATGATAGCGTCCTGATTCCGGATGCCATGTCCGGCAGCAAGCCGGACCCTTCGACTACTCGCGCCACTGGCGCGTCCCCTGCGACGGGAACGGCCTCAGTGGTGCCGGGTATGACTACTAATCTTGGCAAGGGGGTAGCTGGAACCGCCGTGCTCCTGGGTGGCGTTGCTGCCTTGATGAACATGTAACCTACCTGGTCTAGCCAGAGTTGGTATCGGTGAGGTGATTAGTGTGTCCTGTTGGGTTTTGGAGAAATGGAAATTTCCTGATACTGAACTGGATTACTACGTAGAAAGCCTCCTTCTCGTGTTGGTGTGGTATAGACTACGATGTAGTGAAGGTTGGCTTCGCCGTTTAAACCCCAGCTTCGAGTAGCCGCCGCCGCCAAGACTGTGTCCCTTGGTTGCGAACAGCTGAGCCAGGATCCTTCCCAACTCCCCCAGGGTCTTCGAGACTGTCCCTTACCCTCCAGAGCATACATGACTTCCTCCAGGCCTTCGTGAAATCAACGTCCACCTTGTTCGGTAGAACCAGACAGCAAGATATGACGCCAACGATTGGCGAAATGGCCGACTGCGGACGACTCTCCCCAGTTGACCCTCTTCCCGTAGTACTCGGCGTATCAGTCGTCGCCGTCGTCTGGTAGTACCAGGTCGCTGTGGTCGACTAGGGCTCCTACGTCCCACCGCTTGCTTTCAAACCAGGACTTCGGGGCCGAGGTCAAGCAGGTAGAAAAGCTCTTCTACAGGAAGAACCACGTCGTTCGGGCGGGTGCTTCCGGGAACGAGCTCGTAGATGATGGCAAAGGGCTTCTCCCATCTTGGCGCCGTCGATTCGTATCCAGCCGAAGGATGCAGGTACATCGACGGGATAGCCTCGTCGAGCTGTACCCAGCCGTAGCATTCGGGGATATTGACAACGGCAGGGGTGAACGACTCAGAGCTGGCGCGACGACAATACTTGTCGGCAAATTCGTCGGAGATTGCTTTGAGGTTGGGCATGGCGACTCTGCGATATTCGGGGCTCGGGCGGATGAAAAGCGGACATCCGCCGGCAGTGGCACGTCGATACATGGCGTAGATCAATTCGAGCTTCGCGCTAATGCGGCACTCCCGCTCGAAAGTCCAGTAGTTGGTAGAGTTGTGCTTGTTGTGGTCGAACTGTTGGAGCAGTCAGCAAATCGGTAGGTAAACAAGACGGAAGCATCTGCTGTTCCGTTGGACTTACGATCTTGATGGCCACTTCCTTGCCATCGTCCATTTGACCGTATTTGATACAAACATCAGCGCCGTCGCTGAGATCGCCAATGATACGAATGGACGAGTATGGCTTGGGGAACTTCCGAAGCTTTGCGTGGTCGAAGCTCTCCCGAGCTTGGGAAGGGTCGCCGAGCTTGGGCTCATGGGACAGGAATGGGAGATCTGGCTGGGGTGGTGTCGGAACCGGTGATGGTGTTGGCGCTTCCTCGGCAGGCAGTGCCGTGAGCAGGTCTGAAGGGGCGCTCTCCATGGTTGCTGCGGATGGAAGGCTTGCCGCGGATGGTTGGCTGCTGGCTCTATCGTTGGTTGGTGGAAGTGTTATTCCCAAAGAGGAGAGGAGTGACACGATTTTCCCTTTTTCCAAATACGGTAATTTTGTGTGTGGGACGCGCACGAACCCACTCCAAATTGCATGCGATGACGTTGGCTTTACTAGGCAGCTGAGGCACAACCGTCCTGGCACTCTGCGCCCGGGCATGTCGGGACACCTTTAATGGCTGTACAGGCTTCTTAATACAGAGTGAGCTATGGCGCCGCTACCAAATACAGGAACTCGAAATCTATAAACTGTCAAGCCCACTCTACCAACATGAGCAGACTGATCAGGCGTGGGAGGGAGGATAACCGGCGGTAAGCTGCTGCACTCATAAAGGGCTGCCGCACTGTAGGCCCCTATAAGCTAATGTTTCTGATGTTCACGAGGCGTGTTATCAAGAAGTTGGACTCCAAGCGGCTGGCTTGACAACTGCTGTTGAACACTAGCAAGCCCATCAAAAGAAGATGGCAGTCCTACCCGAACAATAGAAAGATTGCTAGGAGAAAACTCAGGGTTGGAGCTGTTGCGGTAGGAACAGGTTGTGAGGAATTCGACGTAGAATAGCAAGAAACACGGGTCGAAAATAGGAATACCAATGGGGAAAAAACAAGAAAAGGAAATAGAAATAGGAAAGCCTTGTAGCCCAAAGATTATAATCTTTAGGAGCCGTAAAACTGCCACCCTTTTTCTGAGCGGTGTGGCGTGCCACCGGAAATCAGCAGCTTCCTGGAAGAACTGCCGTTTCAGTGACACCCAACCTGATTTCAAGGTGGGGTGGCAAGTTGGGATGACAATAAGAATTTGACTATATATACCCTACAGCTAGCTGCGCAGTCCTGACTGAGTTCGTGGTTCCTACCACACACCGGCAGTTGCAGCCAGCCAGTGCCACTGGTCGCCGCCGCTCAGGTAGCAAACCAAATCAAGGAGTGTCAAATTTTGAAAAGGTTGCCTGTCTGGTACGCGAAGCAATACTCTATAGCGTCGGAGGAGGCACAGCGCCGATGAGGGCATCGACAGCACGGGACATCGGGGAGAGCGGCAACACAATGGGCAGAGAGAGAGGGATATTGGCACGAGAGGGGGCTACGAGAGAGATAGAGAGCCCCGCTGTATTTAGTATGGCAAGGCTGGAGGAGCCACGGGCGCGTCTAGGAATCTCCTCGCACATAGATGGCGGATCTCGCACCGACCCCTTCGGAGTTGGGACGGGATCCGGGACATCAATTTATACCTCCACCGCTTGCCCCTAAGCTATCGCGCTATTCCTATTGTGCCATCTTGTTTGGGACACCGTGACTCAGAGAACACCGCTTGCTTTGAGACAGTCCAAGTGGCGGTTGATGACACGCACGTGGACAGCTGGGCTAGTCACGAGATTGGGCTTGGCCGTCGACAACTATGACAAGCAGTATCCAGCCGTGTTCCTCAGAAGCTCGATAGCGTCCTGAATCGGCAGAGATATCGTGTTATCCCCGAGATGGACCATAATACAGGGCCCAGAGTGTTGTACCAAAGCCTGGGTGTCCGCTAGTAGCATGGGCTGCTCAGAGTCATCTCCTAGAAACCCCCAAAAGAATGCTTTCCAGGTAATCGTTAAACCTTGACATCTTGTCTTGAAGTGTACCTTGCTCTCGAGCAATCCGACCAGCCCGCTGTAGAAAATCGGTACAAGACTCTGCGTCTTGCTGCGATTCAGCTAGAATGATTCCCAATACCACTTGGAAAAGCCCCGTGATGAGTATACAGCCGCTTTTGCGTTAAAGTTCCAGGACAGTTCGCACAAAATTACAGCATTCTTCCTGCGATAAGGGCTCGTAGGGAGGCGGGAACTGGCTTGTACCGAGTATTTCTCCGAGATGCCCGGGATCAACGAAGCCATTAAAATTTAATTGTTGGATGTCATCCTTGTCGCCGGCCATAGCCTCAACAGGTTTCCAACCAAGACTCTGACAGTAGGTAGAAAGAGATGTTTGGAGGGTCCTGCGGCCGTGTTTGCTAAAGGGGCGGGGAAATGATGTTTCCCCGAAAGACCTCTGTCAAGGCCGCGTAAAATACACTTCCAAACCGGCATCCTTCGAGGTGTGTCCAGTGTTTTTGGGAGTGCACGCGCGTAATACGTGCTCTTTGGCAGCTATACAGCCCTGACAGATCGCCCCATCGTTCCATGTCTGCCCTTCCAATCCAAGTCGCACCTCGACGAACCTCAGACAAGAATGATACACAAATTTCAACTGTCCTGGGCCGAGTCCCATTGCGTTGTTGCTTCAGCGCAGTTCAGTATCCCTTGGCCTTGATACAAAGAACTAAAACCGGACTTCTGTCAGCTTCGTGTCGTTCCCAGAGGCACTTATCCGGATATAGAGGGTCAAAATACCGCATGAAAGCCCGAGCGAAAACCACACCCCAATGTTGCAGGCATCCCAACAGCAGTTCGAACCCTTGTCCCAAGCACAGTCGTATGCGGTGGGTTTGGTAGGCTTGGAAAGTACAGGGAAGAAGGCGGTGGCTGTTGTCGTTGAGGTAGACGTAGCTGAACTCCCGCTGGTGCTGAAGACCTGGCCTATGGCTGTGGTGGTGTTGGCCTGAGAGCCCTGGGCTTTAGTTGTGGAATTAAACACAGGGATCGTGTGGTTGACGGCTGGTTGAGGTGCCATTGGCAGCCCACTGCATATCCCGGATGCCATGGCCGCGAGAGCGATGGTGATTTTCGAAATAATAATCATTATGGGACCTGGGTAGGTTTCGGTGCGTGTCGAGGAATCCAGGTTGTTGCCGGGGTTTGGCCTCTTACATGCAGCCTACTTGGTCCCTAGGATGCATAGGTAGGGAGATTGTTAAGTACAACTCAAGGCCCCATCTCCGGAAGGACTGACAGTAAATTGAGTTCGCCGTAGCAGTCAGAACAAGCAAGGCTTGGGGACTAACACATTGGTGTGGCTGGAAGCTTGAGCAAGATTGAATATAGCGTCGCCTCCAAAAAGCTACGATTCCTGGGTTTAAAAACCCCGTGCCGGGCTGTGTGGTGCGCCGGGGCGAAATGGAGGCATTTCGAAACAAGCAATGAAAGCCCCATCTATCAGGGCTGTATAGCCAGGCCCACAGGCCAATGTTCCTTCTACAAGCTCATGCTTCCTTCTACAACCCCTTTTCGTAGAGTCCCTGCGCGTCCAAGTGGCTGGCGACGCCACCGAAACCTACAACGGGTGGATACCGGTAAAGAACCCTCGAGGACGCCGAGGGTGGCGCTGGCATCTCGAGGCCTGGCCGGTGTCACAGTGCGCCCAGGTATGAGGTGGCCACCACGCTTTGCGGTTACAGCCTTATATTAGAAAGGAGGTCGATTGTCAGGGTATACTACAGATCGTGTCCAACAGGACAGTCATGTCCGGTTGCTGGGAGCAGCGAAAGGTGGCCTTTTGCCGAATGCCGCGCCTCTAGATGAACGAACGACAGATCAAGAACGTGGCTAGAGTTATTGCACTCTTGACAGCGGAAGAAAAAGAGGCGCTCGGGTCGGAGCAATTTCAGGCCGTGCTGCAAGCGACCACAGAGGCGGGTATGGACTGTAGCCTTTAGGAGAGGAATGTTGTTCACAGACAATTTAAGCTCCAATAGAGAGAAAAGACGTTCCGATATGTACAAGATGACATAGGAGTTAACGCCGCGAGGTTAGATTTGAGCTGTACATACATACGGGTACATGGTGCTCATCCTCCCTGCTAAGACAGAGATGGAAGATAAGCCGTCCATTGAACAGTCTGATAAACCCCAGCTGGCATAGAGAAAATTGAGTAGAAAACAAGACCGACTATTGTAAGACGGCAGATTATGTAGAGGAGCGGGAAAAGCGAGAGCAGCGAGAAAACAACATTCTGGGGCAAGCCCTGTTCCAGAGGCATGCCGTCCAGGGCCCGCAAAATTAGACACCACAAGGGCAGCACAGTCGTTGAGGCAATCGAAGCGGCTCTCCAGAGCCACCCCATCTCCCAGGCATTCGGATCTGGAAAAGGCCAATTCCAAGCGAGAAGGTGAAGCCCGTTGAAGAGTACACCTGTCCCGTGTTTCAGGAGCCCTGGGCTCTTGAGAGAGGTATAGATATCTTCCAGTGACTGCGCTGTGAGGTTTACAGCCCTATACTCACCCACAGCGTACCTCACCTCGCCTCTATTCCTGATGGGGAGGATAGTAACGTTGTGGGCGTCATATGGCTTTTCCCACCATAAAGCGTACATGGCCGCAGAGCACAGCACGTACGAAATGGTAACCAGCTCCAGCAGCGAGTAGTGAAGACCGGCGGCGCGTCTTGCAATGCATTGAAGCACCAGAAACAGAGACTGCCCAATCGCTAGCCATTTGGTGATAGTGTCGGACTTGCTGAGGGCCTGGAGTTCGGCCTCTGACCTGTAGTACAAGGAAGAGGAAGCCGTTTCTCCCACAGTCATGCTGAATTTAAGGGTGTCATTGACGATGAAGTCCGCTACGGATTTCATATTGCCCCAGGATTAGATAACGGCCCTCAGATAAAGATGGAAGTAGGTAGGTAGGCAGACAGGTGATTAGGCACTTACTATATTCCTGGAGGGTTACTGGCATCCCATCTTGCCCGATGAATCCCCCCATTGCCGCGTAGTGCGCGTGCGTTAACGTGAACGGAGTCTCCTTCCAGTCATCCGGCAATTTCTTGTTGGCCTCTTTGAGCGCTCCCTCGGCTTTCATGCGGTCGAACGCAGCCATCCCCACGCCGAGATCCGGCACGATGAGCACCAGGGCCATCCACTTCACCTTCCTGAGCAGCATGCGCCACCGGTGGGTATCCGGCCAGTACGGGACGTTCCGATATCTGAGCCAGGCGCTCGCGGTCTCGTTGCGGCTGGGGATGTTGAGATGGATGCATTTGTATGAGCAGATGAAGAGCACCGCAAGGCAACTCCAGATGATTTGGATCGTGCCACGCTGCGTGGGGGAACTCGTCCAGCCTGCCATCGGGACGCTTGTGTATGGTGACATTGGGTCGTGTGGGACCGGCCGGAACATGATGGGCGCCGTTTGGGGGTCGGGGTAAGGTGCCATGATGGAATTTCAAGGTTGTAGTTTGTGGTGCCGAGATATTCGTGTTTTCGCCGCTTCATGAGATGAACAAAAGTCTGGCGTGGGCTCTCTGGGAGCTCCGAGGGTTTATCTACACACCCCAGATGACATGTCGGGGTGCTACCCGGCAAGGCTCTCGGGGTTTCTCCATCTTAAGCTAGTGCATCACCTGGGAATGGGCTGGTCCCCGCAGCTCGCATGGGGGGCAGGGTCAGCACTGGCCCAGAGCCCTTCGACTTGGCATCAACGAATGCAAGTGGCCCAAGACTCTGCATCCAAAATTGTCTCGTTTGATCAAATGAGGATAGGCAGCCTATACTGAGCCGGGGCCAAGGTGTCTGTGTGGATGCTACATCCTACATGCCACGGGAGAATACGAGCCCTCAAGGGTCGGTTCAGCATTCCCGAATGGTCCTGAGGAATAGCGCAGCTCTCCGGTTGAGTGCTGATCACCTCCATATCTATCCTTTGCCAAGCTCCAATATCCGCTGCAGCTGAAAAGCCACAAAAAGCCCGTGGCGAGCTAGCGGCAAGGCAGCCAACAAAATCATGTAGTTTTCAGCCTCGCCCACCTGGCCTGCATTGGCTCCACATTGACACATCATACGGAGATAGGAGGCGAAAAAAATCGCCATTTTCGAGGTAGCGCCAAGAGCACCCCATGTTCAGCCCTTACCAAATAAGGCCTAGCCTACATTTCTTTTTCAACATCAATCGCAGCACCAGTTCGAATCCGCCCACACGCGTTTTAATCGATTGGCTAGTGCATACCCCTGGCCCCTGCCCTCGCTTCACGAGTGACCTCCCCACTGTAGATTATTTAACCCTCACACCTCCGTAATACAGGGGCCGAAGGTGGCAGCACCGAGCCTTACTCCGGCAAAAGGAGACGCGGAGACCAAATGCTTCAAGGTGGTTCATACAGAAAATTGATTAAAATACCAGGGTAGTGATGGAGTGAGTATACATCTGGCCACTAGGATGGCGTCCGTCGGAGGGGGCAGCAGCTCACACCTACCCGAGCACAAGGCGCCCTGTCGCCATGTGTTGTAGCGACTGAAGAGAAACGACGCAT